GAGAAAGTTTACCTTCCTTGCATATTTGGAAATGATGTCATAACCACTGAATGAATGCTGGGAGAGATGATTTGAATGATCTTCCTGCTGTGAAATAAAACAAAGGTGTCACAAAATAAAAAAGATCATCAAAATGCACATGGCATTGCCAAGTAGTTTGCATACTAGCTGTTTGTGCAATAAACAAAAGGGAAGTGGCACATAAACTTGAATGAAATGCTGACTAAACATTTTACCTTCACTTTAATTGGAAATGTATAATTCATAATGACTATAACAAAAACCCAAATTAAGGAATTAATTGAATTCAGACAACATGCTGTTTCTGGTGTGATTTTCAAAACTTTCAGGATTTTCTTATATTGCTCTACTTTCTTTCAAACAAAAACATTACAGAGTTTTAAACCAGTGAGATTGATACTGTCTAAACTTAAGCCAGCCATGCCACTGGTATTTAGTTTAACTCTTCTGATTCAAACAGTCACATTGATCTTTTCCTCAATAAATAATGCAATGAATTGCAAAAAAAAGATTGGTATTCAGAAGAAATCCATTTCATGTCATTGGGCAAGCATTGTAATCTGTAAACTGTAACCTTGAAGAAGGTACAACTTTCAAAAGTCAAGTTTTGATTTTCAGATGTCTGCAAGGGAGACACAGCTAATTCTCCCTGCACACGGTGTGCTGAATCAGAATGGAGCAATTCATAAACAGATACATTAAGCACACTGAAGGGAAAAAACAAGCTATTGACTACATTTGTTTTAAATTAAAGCGTGAGTTCTAAAACAAAGGATTATACAATTGTATTCTCATTCATTCAATTTTATATACTTTCTCATTTGTGAAAAATCCCATGCAACAGAATGTCCTTAGACATATTTTCAAGGTGAGTTTCTTAATCCCAACACCCCCTCTGCAACCACTTTACTCCAGCCAGCCCTCAGGGTCCTACGGTAATAGAGGAAGTGTTCTGATGACTTTGGGAGTTTTGGGTGACCCCTGCTCTTTAGTTTCCTGCCTGCAGTTTCATTGTGCTTCATTACATACATATGAACTGCATCATTTACTCTCGCAGTGGCCATCAAATCTATGACGATTACAATTGCTTTTGCAAATTTGTAAGCGCTTGGAGACAAAGCCTCCAAACTGCCCGCTGAGTCGGTCCTCTTAGTACAGAGCGAAAGTCCTCTGGACTTCATGAAACCCATTAAGACCTGCCTCCCAAAGAACCATTATTGCGCTGTTGGCAGATCAAGCTTTTCCATTTAATGTACTTAGGAGTGCATGCTGCTAAATGACTGAGCAGTGCGAAGTCCCTGGCTCTAAATGAAACCCTGTTGAAATGATTGTTATATTCTATTTTTTGTATGAGTAATTTGTATTGCATTTTGTTTTTAAAATATACCTGTACATTGTATCATATTATCAAGCACAGGCTTCATCCAGACCAACTCACAATGTGAACAAAGTGCATCTAGTAGAGCCGCATAAGCAATAGTACATACAGGAAATGATACATAGTACAATACTGCATAGTAACTCTTAGATGTCAATTGATTTCAGGCTTTCCAGGGCAAAAGTGGATTTTTATTTTTAATAAAAAAGGATTAGAATACAAAACCAAGTCCCAAAGTGGTCTTGCTAGTCCACCTATTTCACCAGGAATGAACAGTGACTCAGGGACTCGGTAACAAGATGTTTTCAACTCAAATCTCAGCAAGAGTCTGTTGAGCTGAAGAAAAAGCAAATAGCCAAAAACGGTGTCAGAACCATAGCCGTGAGAGGCACAAACAGGATGGTAATAGCACTTGTAGGAGCCCACTCCACACCCACAGCAGTGACTGAGTACCTGTCCCATCCCAATGTCCCCACGCCTCCTGCTGTGCTCTGACGTCCTGCTCTGTCACCTCTTATTCACAGCAGTTTATCTGTCTGCCAGAGAAGACTGCACAAAATGAACCGACACACTCCATAGACTGTTCCATTCATCACCTTCACCACACACACAAATATCACCATCACCAATGGCAAACACACACTCAGACATACCACCACTATGAAGCCCCTCCACAGACACACACACACACAAGCACTACAGCAGGTGGTAATGCAAGTCCATTCCATGGTTCAAACTTATTTTTCATTCAGAAACGACCAACTCTTACTGGCAGCTTTCAGTCATAACCCCCAGCCCCATAAATGATGCGGACATCCCCACAAAGCCTCAGGCCATTAAATAACCCATGGTGTTACTCTGGTAAGTGATATTGAGACTACCTTGGCTTTGACATCATGTCATATGATGGTCATTGGTAGTGCAATGGTGGAGGGTCCACTCTGTAAGAAAGCTTTGTTATAGGGGGTGGTGCCATAAAGAAGATTACTCACATTCACTGCATGTGTGGCCTTAAGGGGTGTATGAACAAAGAAGTCATGTTGGTCTTCCCTGTCACAGTTTGTATATATTTGTGTGTTTCCATCATGTTGTGTGATGATAATGGAGAGATTTCCTAAAAGGCACGGCACATTGCGAGTGAATGTGTCAACCAAACAGATTAATTGTTATAACATGGAAGCACATTATAATGAAAGACTGTCACATTAGCAGTCCCCCCGTAATGTTTCTTCATATCTTAGAAAGCTTTCTGTTTGTCTGAATAATTTAGTGATATTTAAAACTGTGTCAGACAGCTGCAAAGTGAAAGGGCGCCTGCAATATTTTCTCTGTTTTGCAGGATGTCAGCATGTGGAGGAGCAAATCACTGAGGCAGAAATGTTATTCAGACATTAAACAGGACCTGCGGGTTTGAATCCCCTGTTTGACATGGCTCTTGTACCCTGGAGTACAATGCTAACTAACTGGGGGGACTCCAGTAATATAAGCAAAAACCCTCATAACCAAAATAGACATCATAAGTGCTCCATCCCTAGAAAATCTCTTAATATACATTTCATTTATCTTTGGCTTTGTGTTTTCAGAATGAATGAGAAGGGTGATCTGGGAGAACTTGGATTTTTGCACATGTAAGAAAGGTTATGAAAGCCATGATTACCAAACAGTCGTATCTGCATATCCATGCAGTTATATTCATAGCACATTGACATTTAACACAAATTCACCCAAGTAGACCAATTTACACAGATGCATCAGCAAATGGAACTCAGCTTCAATTAACAAAAAGAAAGCATCTTTCATCTGCACTGGAAAAAACCTTGCGACTCACAGCTGGTTGTGGTGTTTTAACATTAGGCGTTAGCAGCGCTAAAGTTGAACTGAGGCTCTGTTTGGGTACTTTTGCCACTTTGAAGAAGCAAATGGACTTGGGAAATGAAAATTATATATCAGCTGAAATTACAGAGGTTAATTCAGGAGTCACAAGTAAGTGGAGGAATGTAATTGGTGTAATTAGCATCAAAGTAATGACTCCGCTCTCGCTGAACTCAGGTCAATGGGTGCATAGGCACCAACGCGTGGTCAATGTTGAGAGTGAACCTAAATCACAAAGACTTGATTTCTACAGCAGAACAAACTCAAACATTAGAGCACCTAATGTGCACATTAAATGTTTTGAATTGTGTTCACTATGTATCTCTCCCTGCATGAACAGTACAAACATCATTGTTTAGGTAAATGCAATATATACATGACAAAGCTCCTGATTTCCCATGCACATGCATAAGGAAAAAGACAAGGTCTTGTCACATCACTCAAGTGTCCATTCATAGTGCCTTTTGCCAGCACTCTCATTTGTCATTTTTCAGGAGTCTGGCACACTCAGTCCCTCATTTGACTGGGTTCTAGAAGGAGACGACAAAGGAGCTGGTCAACTTTAGAGCTCGAGAGCACTCCCTTCACCCTGTTACGTTTGATGCCACATCTGAAGGAGATGGGTGCCATTTTAGGCTGCCTCCACTCCTTCTCCCTTTCATAAAACGTGCCATTCTCATAGGTGCCTCCGAAATCGAGACTGTCCACTGCACTTTGTCAATTCACGCTTGCGTATCTCTCCCTCCCAACCTCCTCTTCAGGTTCAGAACAAAAAGTCTGCCATGGTGGATTCACTGAAGTGATTCCTTCACCTGGCGGTGAAAGTGAAAATGAGAGATTTTTTTTTTTATTCACACACCTGAGGAGAGGCCTCAGTGACACGATTCGCTCGACACCTGACAACGTCCCATGTCCCCCTGCTGTCAAAACAGGTTTAACTCTTAGGTTGGATTTATGGACCAGAAAACTCCCACAGTCACTGTCTCTGCTTTTGCTGCATTGCGGCTGGATACCAACAGGCCGTAGGGGCCATTAACAGCAATACAACGCCAGCCCATCGCCATTAATCACTGGGGGTAAAGTACCGAGCAATTTAATCTTATCAGTGCATTGTAACACCTCCAAAGCTGTCACTCTCCTTGCAATAATACACGTCAATCAATCATCTGGGCATCTGATGACGTGACTGCAATTGAACAGATTTCTGTGAGGATTGATGAATCGATGCACAGAGGATGTCCACCTGAAAGCCTTTCTGTACACTTTGCCAATGCAGAACATGTTTTTTTACCCCTTTGAGTAGAACAAGACTGTTTTTCTTAGAATCTAACACCAGTTAGCACATTCATCAAAAAAAAACAATTCAAAATGAACAGATAAACACAGGTGTTTTATGTTTTTCACTGTCATGAACTCATGATTGTGAATAACCTCCCCCATGGTCTCTGTCCATAAAATCCACATGTCAATCCAGTTCTCTTCTTTCCAGGCACATTTGGAGACAGCCGAACATTGGTGTCAAAGAGATTGCCATTCAGTGGAGGGGATGTACTTAGAAGGTGACAATTTGTAGTAGTGACACGCTAGTGAGTGTCTGGACACAGCAACCTTCTGGCTCTGGGCCACAGAGATAGATCGCTGAGATCGAGTGATCAGAGGTGAGGGGAAGACAGTGTTAACAATGGACAACTGTGTGTGTGTGCAGCATGCTGGCAATATTGACAAGTTAGCTGTGGCTGAGTGGTTAAAGAGCTGGCCTTGAAATCTAAAGGTTGCAGGTTCAAGTTCTATAGTCAGCCCTGCTGCTGCAAAAAGTATAAGCTGTAAAATGGAAGTGGCCTCAAATAGGGCTGTCTGTTAAGTGAATGAATAATGTAAAAATCCCAGCCATTCCAGAGTGCTAGCACCCCACCCACTTGATGAAGGCTGGATAATCTGGGGTCAAAACCTGTACCATGTCTCATTATGTAATCAAATGTAAAGAACAAGATGGCAAAATGCCTTAATGCAAAACACAGACTGTGTTAATACTGACAGCTCAGAACTGGGTTTTCTCTCTTTCATCTTCATATATGGACTCCTCCCTTAATGTATGATGTACTGCGTATATAATGCATGACTGAGGAATTTGTGCTAGCGAAAAGGAACTGAATGCTTTTTGTTTCCTTTTTACCATTTCACTGCTTTTTAAAACTTTTCAAATGAATGGTGAATACTGACATGGATTAAATCACCTTTCACCATTCTTGGACCTGTGATGTTGTGGTCCATTATTAATGTTTGAAGTAATTTTTTGTTCCCACATACTGTTTATGGTGATATTTAATAAAACAGTGCATTGCAAAACAAGTTCACTTACTATTGATGATCCAAAGGCTGTGGTGATACAGTAGGATAGAGTCATAAATTACCAAGTTGAAATCCTGTATTGGCAGAAGCTGACACTATTCATAGAGAAACAGAATAGTTCATGGATTATGCAGCAGAAAACTGAGAGAAGAAGTTACTGTAAAAGTCTTCCTAGGGATATTTTGCTTTCAATAATGTGAATAAACAGGCTTGTCAGGTATGTCTTTGTGTATTGATGTAAACAATATTGCAGAAAATTGGCACAGCCAAAAGGGACAAGCACTGTTTTCTGACCTCAGGAAATTTCAACATCATACTGCTGTGTAAAAATTATTTTTAAAAAATTCTGAGTGGACATGTGGACATAACAGAATGCATTCTTACATGAGTGAATCAAAGGCCAATTAGAGTGGCATAATCATGACTTTACTTCACTAATACATACATTTACAATGCCTACATAATGCACACAGGCAACCAGCTGTTTGGGCTTTGTGGCCCTATAATGATTGTCCTTGTCTTTTCCACCTGTGTGGAATGACTGTTTATGAGACAACCTCTGTGTGTGATGAAGCAGTGTCTCTGTGTGGCCAGGTGCCGTTTCAGTAAAATGCTGTGCCGTGCCCAGATCAGGTGGTGTCTGTCAACTTTGTTGCAGAGTGGAAGACTGCCTGACAAAGGGCCAGGCAGCTGCCAATATGCTTGTTTCAGGGGGAAGTGTTCGATCTCGCGGTAATGACCTCCAAACATCACTGGCATCTTGGATAACTTTATCTCTATCTCGCCACTCTTATCTCCCTCCACAGACACCAAACAATTTGGAAGAGCTTTTCTAGGCATTTCCATTATCACACACACACACACACACACACACACACACACACACATACACACACATTAAGTCACTTTATCATGCTTACAGCATAATAATGGCATGAAGGCAATTGTGCCTTCTGGAATAGGGAATGAGAAATATCCATACTGTGTTCATGCGGATGCTGTTTGATTCATTTCAAAGCATTACGACTGTTATCATTAAGTTGATTCGTAATCACAAGAAGAAATGTTTTTAAATTTGGATAAGTACCACAAGAAGAACAAAAATGAAATGGAAATGTCTTGAAATTAATATTGACATTTTTGTCTAACTGATATTGATTTCCTTGTTTGGATTTAACTTTAGATACTATTAATCCAGTGACATATAATCTGATCAGGTTTTTAATCACGAACCTCAGTAGGCATTTTTAAGGAAACTGAATTAAAAATGAACCACTGCTGATGCTGCTGATGATAAAGATTTTAGTCTCAGATATATGCAGTCGCTTTTTGAATGAGCCCACTAATCTCAGTTTACTCTGGAAAGACTGGAATCCATTCTGAGACAGGAAACACTCTGGCCCTCGGCAGGACCATCGGAATCAGGGATAATTTCACCTCCTTGGCTCTGACAGTTCATTTTGGACATGACTTTATTCATTCGAAATGGCAAAATAAGTGTAATCTGTCTCTGAGTAAAGGTGCAAGATGGCCTAGCTTCTCACTTTTAACTACGGAATGTGTTAATTGACTTTGTAATGCAAAGCATGATAGGAATAATGGTGTGTCACCATCAAAGATAGATGATTAAATACAAAACAATGGAAACTTGTAAATACAATGGAAGTGTCCCATTGAAAGATTTATAAAGGCTATAAAGTATGAAAAAAAATCTATGTTGACAAGCTGAAATGCTGTCATAAAAAATACTGAATTTATACTGTGCTATGTAATGTAGTGGCCACAGCAGACTCCAAATTCATGTCAAAATATGCATATTTTAAAAACATTCATTTCTGATGCTCACTTATATGCACCATAGAACCTACAACATGAACATCATATTAAAATGCACACTAAACATATCAATAAAAACATTTATTTTTATTTCACATTTTATTATATATTAATTTTTAATAAGGATGCATATGGCAGATTCTTAAGTATGGGGTGTCTGGGGTAGGTAAACCTCTACTCGAGCATAAATAAATTTTCTATAAAATGTTTCTGTTCCCTGAAATGCTTCATGATATTGGCAGAATCACCATTTAAAATGGACCTGCATGAAAATAAAAAATTGTGTCCATTGTCATGGGTAAAGCTGCTCGTCGCAATGCAATAGCGAACATGAGCCACTCAGTTTCCTTACAGCTTTTTTGGACATAAATGACCTACATTAGCCCCACTGTTACATTGCTCCTGAGAGCTAAGGGAGCTCCGTAAACATGCAAGGAATGCCTTTGAAAGATACAGTGAGGACGGGTGCCATTAGCAGTTTTCAGCTGCTCAAAGGCCACACACAAGTTAGCAACAGCACAAAGCTTCACACCAAAGGGAGGCAGTGGCCCTTTAAGAAGGCATCGTCCTACATCCTGAGCCTCTGGTCTCCCTTAGTGTTTAATGTTTAATCTACAGTGTTTATGGATGTGTATGATATATGTGTGTGTGTGTGTGTATGTTACATTTAGCAGACCCTCTTATGTCCTGTAAATACTGTTATTTTTTTACACATGCATGTAATACATACAGATAGCTAAAATAGAAGCAGGGAGGTGGATATGAACACTGTACCAGTCCCCTGGTACAATCTGGGGTGAAAGACATAAAATATTTTGTACCTACTGATATAACTTCTCAGATTATGACAGTTTTCAAGTGTCTAGTATTGATGCTTCTGGGAAATCTAGTTGCTCATCATCTAAACTGGAGGTTTATTAAGTGTATGCATGTTACTATCTATGAACACCAAGACAGACAATGGAAATTCATTAGAATATGCAAAATGCCAATAATGTAATGCAATGTAATGTAATATATTTTTTTCAGTCTTTAACACAAGCCAGCTGCACCATTTGTCTTACGAGTTTTTTTTTAGCCATGAATGTCTTCTCTCTGGTTATTACATAAAGCATATGTAATCTCACTAACAGGCCTCCTTTACATTGCAAAGCCAGTGCCTCAGGGGTTATCCTTACTTACTGGTGCTCCTCAGGGAACTGCCTCCTTTCCTTTTTAGCAGATTTTAGACTGTCAGGAGAGGAGAGCCATCCTCAATGGTTCGTAGATACCGCTGTTGCAGTGAGTTGCGTATCTGAAGGGGATTCCGTGGTATACCAGAGAGTCATCAAGTTATTTGTGTTGTGGTGTGCAGAAAATTAGTGGAAGCTCAACATGTCCAAAACAAAGGACCTCATGGCTGATTTTAGATGGAAGAAAGAGTCAACTGTACCGAGGTGAAGGCAATAGATTCTTACGAAAACCTGTGAGTCTTTATTGATTAAAAAAAAAAACTTGAAAGGAAAGAGACCTCAGTAATGGGTCTGTGTTCTACAGCATGGTGTAGACTCCCATCAGCCCATCTTTGAACAGAGAATGTGCAATGCTCTTATTTGCACAATAATCACCGAATAATCATCCACTACTCAGCATATGAGTGCAACAATTTCTTTTAAAGTTTCTTAATTCCTAAGTCTATCTGTCTCTATTATTATCTATATTATATTATTATATGATTAATGTTAGTGAATTAAATATTGTGTGCTCTTTTAACTTGTGCCATGCACAGTTTTTAAGATCAACATGCAGAAATTAATATGAAATGCTAAAATATTAAATGTCTGTACATTGTGTCTAAGCAAATACTGCATATACACACATACATATGCAGAAACATAGCCACACAAACATTATGCTGACTCCAACCATAGCCATTTATTCCCTGTCAGCAGTTCTGGAATTCAAGGTGAAAACCTGATTTATTGCTCTGTAAACTTGTGGCAGATGCGGTTTTATTCCTGAGGACTTTGAATTTAGTTATTTATATGTTTATTTCTAGGAAAAATGGAATGCGAGCGGAAGCTCTGCATTTTATTTTTCAATCAGGCAAAATGGTGTTGATCTGCGAGGAAAGCCACAGTGCTCTGACACCAACCCAGCAAGAGCAGGGTGAGAGGGAAATGAATTGCCTCCGTTTTGGATCAGTTAACAACATGGAAAGCACTTCCCAACATGGAAAGTATGTCCCAATGTTACCTTTCCATTTAAGCATAATCATAATTCTTTACCATGGCTGAGGTAAACATTTGACCTAGGAAAAGAGGAACTGTTAGCAATCAGGTGTTCAAAAAAGATGATAGTATAAAAATCCATTACTATTCCTATTCTCTGGATGATTTAAACCTGAGTTTACCAAAGTTCGGAGAGGACAACCCAAGTTTACCAAGGTTGCACCGGACAGGAGGAAACAGAATAAAATCTATCACTTGTAAAACATAATTATTTTCAGAATAATACCTTTTTTTGCGCTTTCTATTTAAATTCGGTATTTAAATAGAAAATTACTATTACAGTCACAACTCCAGCATTTATGAAATAAAATTATGCACAAAATGCACACTTAATGCACTGATGA